CCAAAAGGCTCAGGATGTTGATATTTAGTTAGTAGCATATGCTGGGATCAAGGACTACTATGTTTGTTAAAGTGAATGACTTTGACTTATATTCAAGGTCACAGGGGTCAAATTTGTTTAAAATCTTTAAACAACCTCTTATGAATAACCATGGGTCCCAGGATGTTTATACTTTGCAAGTTGCATCCTGAGATGAAAGGCTATACAATGTGTTCAACATAATGACTTCGTTCGACTTTCAATCGCAGGGGTGAAATGTTTTAAAAAAAAATAACAGGGTCTTTTGAACGAATTTTAATCATAAAAACTGATATTTTGCCTGTAGCTTTATTTTAGATCACTTTTAAGGTTACAAGTGTGAGTTTAAAACCAGGTGAGCGATGCAGGCCCATTGGGCCTCTTGTCCTATTATAGTATCAGCTGTTAAATCAGTCATGGAGGTTTGGTTTTGTCCTTTCAGTATGCCTCTCAGTTTGCTGGGTACGTTGTGAGTATAGTGATAGGGTTCCTGTTCATCTTCCTATTCCCACTCATTGGATGCTGCTTCTGCTGCTGTCGGTGCTGCGGCTGCTGTGGAGGCAAAATGATACAGAAGCGCAAGGACACGGAGTCATCTTGTCGGCGGAAAGTTTACATTGTGTCTCTCTTCATAGTCATTGTTTTTATGGCGTAAGTTGTGATGTGGTTTTCTGTTTGGTACTTAGTGTGACATGCATGTCTTATTGAGAAAAGCTTCACGATATTAGTTTATGTCCTCGTTGTCATCATCTTTTTGATGCAAGATATCTAGGTAAATGTTGAAGAAATTCTGATGCATTATGAAAACATTTACAAATGTACGCTGTTGAGGCCTGTTGATCAAGCCATCACAAATATGGTTGCCCCACTATATATCCAGCCAGGATTTTATACTTATAGAACAAATCAATTCTGCCACTAGAGCTCTAAATGAAAGTGTATGAAGTCTTCTTTCTAGTTTTGATGTCATTTCATCATATGCCTTGTGTTGGATTTTGATTAACTGTTCAAATTTGATACAATGAAATATGTGGAACTGGTTGGCTAATTACGCTGAAAGACTGATCAGATTCAACAATACTTGTTATGATGCATCTTTGGGACAATTAAGGGGTTCTAATGTTGTATAAAAGAAATCCTAGCTGAGAGGTGGGGACCAACTGGATAAAATTAGCGGATTTCAGCCTGCAAAAGACTACTTCTTGTAAAGAGCTTGAATGATTTTAACCAACATTAACATTTTACATAAAGTTAGACAAGGGAATCAGATGTATTGAAAAAGAAGGCTGGTGAGGTAGGGGATGAGAGGCAGGCTTCAAAATCCACTTCTAAATGGCTGCCCTGTGGACTAAGTTCTTGTTCAATTTCTTTTACCATATCATTGATAATTGTTGACAGTTTTACACAGTGTTGTATTTTACTCAAACATTTTAGGTCTGGAATGGTTTGTGTGTACATTTCTAACGACCAGTTTACAAAGACTGTGGATACTATTGACACAAGTGTAGCCAACACTTTGGACGACTTGTTAACATTTGTCAACGCCACAATTGATGTAAGTAGCAAACAAGTCAGTATATATCTGTAACAGAAGTCAATGGAACAATATCAAACTTCTATTTGTTTTAACAGGACAACAGTTCCGTCACCACTCGTCTACAACACGTCCAACTACTAAAATTTCATCCCCTGACCACTATTTTAGGCACTATCCATCCTCTACCACTTTTTACAATCCCATTACCTCTCTTTTTTTCACCCCCTTATAACCCCTCTACAATTTTCACACCACTACTGCACAACTTCTGTTATGTGACCAGTAAGATTACCGGTAGGTATACCCCTCATCTCTTTTATCACCCCCACACTTATCCACAATCTCACACCATGTCTATACAGTTGTGGGACCGCACAACGCACCAAAAATAGCGTGCGCGCTCCGTGCGCACACCGTGCATACATCGTTCACACACCGTCCGCACATCGTCCACACAAGGTGCGCACAACTGTGCGATTTAGTAATCGTTCGCCCCGTTGTGCGCTTCTCTTTGCACAACTGTGCGATTTGGTATCATTTGTAGATCCAAATTACGGAATGACAAAAATATGGAAGGCTTGTATGCGATAATGTACACTGTGTATATATCTGTAATTTCTCATCACAATAATCAAGTTTATACAATTTCACAATGCGAGTTACACAGTATATATTACAGCGACCGTTAGGCTGTCAAGAATGGGTTTGGCTCCAAGGTAACAGAACAGGTAAATAACAATTGTATGAGTGTCTTGAGATTTACCTGACCAGTGACGGACACACAGAGCTGATATACGATACCGTTTGACCGTAATGTATAGTATTTGTTATTTGCATTCGTTTGCCTATAGCTCCCCTTCACCTGGATTTTCACACTCTGGCCTTACCCGGCGAGTTACGTAAGTGCCCCAGGCGGGGAGAAAACTATGGTACAGGTACATGTACAAAGTGGTTATGTTTACCTGTATAAGGGATTTTGTTGTAATTTTACATGTGTTGATTAAGTTTGTTTAAGATCACAGAAAACACAATTTCTAAGTATAAGAATGTATAGACAGAAAGATAAGTTTATAGATGTTGCTAGAATATAGAAACATACGTAAACATCAACCGTATACATTGTTAAGGCATTCCTCAATTTACACCAACCACGATTGTTATCGCATTACGTCCGTCCATCGTGCGCACAGATGTGCGCAAGCAATGATTGTCCAGCTTTTTATCGTTCGCCCATGGTGCACACACTGTTCTCACACCGTGCACACACCGCACATCGTGTAACGTTGTGTGATCCCACAACTGTACCTCTACTCCACCACTACTGAAACATTACTTGCCCTTCTACCTACACCCTATAATTCCTATACCATTCCTGTTATACCACTTCAAAAACCACTCCTCTATTACACTCTTTCATAATTCCCTTACTTCTCTTCAATTTTTAGCTCACCTGGCACGAAGTGCCAAGTGAGCTTATGCCGTGGCGCGGCGTCCGTCGTCCGTCCGTCGTCCGTCCGTCCGTCCTCGTCTGTCAACTTTTCCTTTAATTCTATTATCACTGACGGACTGCAGTAGCTGACTCAGATGAGTGGTTAAGGTGTCTGACCATCTATGATCACGAGCTGTGGGTTCGAAGTCTGCGTGAGGCAGTTATCAAGTACTCGCAACAGGTTTGTTGTGTTTGCTCCAGGTACTCTGGTTTTCCTTTACCACCAAAACCTGGTATGTCCTTAATTGACCATATTGCTGTTTATGTATAGGACATAAAGCACAAACAAACCAAAGTATTACCACTCCTATATCTCTAATGCTGTAACATATACTCGTCAAATACTGTAAGACCATTCATCCCTCCTATGATTCCTATTACCACACACGCAAGCACGCATACACTAAACACATGGAGGCATGTCCTTAAATGACCTAATTAGCTGTTAATAGGATGTTAAACAAAATTAAACCAATCATATTACTCCTACACCTTTCCTATATATATCACTTCTATCTCTCATTCCTGACATCGACCCTTACTGTTCGGTACCCTTCTCTACCATTATTCTACCATTCTATTTGAATTCCTAAACTAGATGCGCTTGTACTAGTTACCATTCCTTAGCCACTATTTATTCCCTACCATTGACCATCAACCTCCCCTCACTATTCATCTACCTCTACTTCTCTACCACTTCATTTCTACCACTGTTATATATATATTATTCGATCCTCTACCACCATTGGTATACTGCTACTTTTAGTACTCCACCACTCCCTATACCTATCCACTTCTCTCCTGTATCATCCTTCTGACAATATTTACCAATCTCTACCACTCATCAACTTCACCGGTCATCTACCTTTACTTCTCTACCACTGTTATATATATATATTCGATCCTCTACCAACGTACCATTGGTATACTGCTACATTTAGTACTCCACCACTCCCTATACCTATCCACTTCTCTCCTGTATCATCCTTTTGACAATATTTACCAGCCCCTACCACTCAATTTTGCGGGTTGATAAATAATTGAAAAAATGAAAGATAGAAATACTGAAATCAAGAATGTTTAGAAATTAAACAATTTGAGAAATTGTTTTACTAAAATTAGATCAAAACAAAGTTTTTTTGTAAAGCAATCCATGTTATTGCCTATATTGAGCTGTTTGTATAATTATGTAACACTGACTTATATTTTTAACATTTATATATATACATGTATAGAATATATTTTCTTGTTTGATGAAATATTTTGAGATGTTTTTTGTTGTAATTGCTTTTGTTTTTGTTTATTCTCACAAGATACAATTGATATATTTTAATTAGGTTTTGGCTGTACATAAAACAAACTGCTTTTGAAACATAATCTCATGTATGTCTCCTTTGATTTCAGCAAATAGAACTCCTAGTGCAAGACAATTTCAACTTTACAACGGACGTCGTCAAACGGGATTTAGATAGTAAGATCTCCACATACAAATAACACCACATAGAAATTAAACCAACTTGTACAAATCACCATCTCACATAAATCACACCATCTCATACAAATCACCATCTCACATAAATCACACCATCTCGTGTGAATCACCATCTCACATAAATCACACCATCTCGTGTGAATCACCATCTCACATAAATCACACCATCTCGTGCAAATCACCATCTCACATAAATCACACCATCTCGTGTGAATCACCATCTCACATAAATCACACCATCTCGTGTGAATCACCATCTTACATAAATCACACCATCTCGTGCAAATCACCATCTTACATAAATCACACCATCTCGTACAAATCACCATCGCATATAAATATCATTGTATGCATTCATGCTTTGTTCTTTAGGTTTTGTTTGCTCATAGACACAAAATCATCAGAGCTATTTCCTCCTATGAAAATCACCATCACATACAAATTGAATTATTTTAATATCGCAGCATTTCACATTATAATCAGATATCTCATATAAATTGCTATCCCACCCAGTCAATTCATCATCAATGTTTTCATTTACAAATTTTAAACATCCATGCAGATCTTACTATTGAATTGACTAAAAATCATACAGAAATATTGAAAATATTTCACTCGCCCTTCATGAAATTTTATTTTTTAGCTCATCAATTATATTAATATACCCCTGCATGAGTGTGAGCATAAGGTAAAGACAGGTTTAAGGGTGTAAGTTACATGTAGTTGGAAGTATAATTGTTTACTCAATATGTGTGTTAGCATTCCTTTATTTTACATGGTGTTCAATAAGGATCTTACTAAACATTGAAGCCAAAACTGAATATTTGTATTCACCTATTGTGAAATTGATATAATTTTTTGCACAAAATCACCAGGTTAAATTTTTTGTATATGTTCAGTGAAAGCTTGGCATAATTTATGCAATATGCATGCTAAGATGCTGATACAGTATATATATATTGCACAAAGGAGTTCATTGTGGATCTTAATATTGATTGAATGAAGCCAAAAATGATTTTTTTAGGTTGTATGATAAACATTTTTTTATATGAATCATGTTGATTTTGGAAAAATTGTTGATTTTTCCTGTGTTTTATTTCCCTTGTGTAGGTATAGGGTACCTGTTGGGTGTGCCTCTGCGGAACGCAATAGGTGTGGACTCTGGTCTGGATGCCTGTTTTGCCACCACCTATACACTGGTGGAATGTAAGTGTAACTGAACCATAAAATAGCTCCACTTACCCTTCATTGAGATCATAAAATAGCTCTTTACAGAGTCTTGCTTTCCTGTTCACTTACCCGAGTAAAAGTTTTAACAATGATTTATACAGATTTCATTTCAGAGGATTTCTTCGTATCCCCTGTATATATAGGTCTATAGATATATGTGAAATGGAGCAACAGGTGTGTGAAGCCTGTAAATATCCTCTCCTTACAATGACACCCTCGTCATATTTTTGTCATGATAGATACATGTTACTCTGGGACTTAAATATTACACATATTATGTTATTGATGTTATTTTGCAGACAAGATCGCAGACTACCAATTATCACAATTATTTAAACAGTTAGAGAGAACTGACACAAATATTGGTCAACTGGTCATAAATGAACTCGGATTACCACTGACCTAAAATTGTCCTTACTCTCACACTTAGTATATATATGCTTGGGCCGGACCATTCCCAACAGTTCAAAAGCAAACCTAGACTGTGACAGTATTTATACAAATTAGTACAGTAATAATCTCATAAAAAACATCTAGTATTTTATAAAAGTGTTTGTCTCTTTCTGAATCATTTCAATAAGTAAATAGTAACATGTATAAAATTGCATATTCTTTGGTATATAAATTTATAAAGATTTCCTGGGTCTTTAACATCCATTCCCAAAATATATTGAATTTTCCAACAGTGCAGTGGATAGTACACCATTTTAAAAAAGTGTACATGAAGGAAACCAAAAATTATTATTTCACTCTTCCAGATTTTTTGCAGTTCCATACACATCATTTTGAGATTTTATTACAGTATATACATTGATCTAGCTACTGAAATATCATTACGAATACATTGTATCAATGTTTTTGTTGTAATTTGACACCATTTCAGCGGCTAACAATGCTACAACAGACCTGCTGCAAGTGAACACATCAATGGCTGTTTTAAACTCGGCCTTTAGTGATTTGAGTACAGCTTTGTCAACTTTAAAAACAAGCCTTGATACTACATTGGCGAGCTGTGGAGCAATACAGACTACATGTAATGGTATTGATACAACTCCTCTCACTACCGAAATGGATGCAACAGCTGTAAGTTCATTAAATGAATATAACACATGATTATAGAAGAATCAGAACCTATTTAATACCTGTAATAATAATGTATCTGCAACTTTGCCTTTGCCAACCAGACCAATAAATAGCCTTGAAAACAGATCTACTGACAAATTCAATAGGTTTAAAAAAAATTACACTGTTTTATAAACAAGAAAGACACAATGAGAATGTTAATTTTATACTGTCATTTCACAGATGCCTATAGCTATATTTAGTACGTACACTGCCAAATTATTATCACAGGGAGGTAATATGCTACTACAAGAGTTGCTTCCCTTTAATTATCTGCTGATTTTATGGAAAAACTGAAATTAGCATCCTGTTCTGTTTTATACTGATCCTGGACCCTGAACATTGTGATATACTGTCCCTGGGCTAGGTGATGATGCAACAGGCTATGAAGTTGCCATCTTGCAGAAATAACATTCCTCATGAAAAGTTTTTTGGTAAACCAAATAATTTTACAGTAGTTGATTTATTGGTAGTACTAGAGTGTAGAGTTAGACTATCAAAATCCTTCTTGTCGTTCATAAATGATCTCATTAGTGGGCACTTGTCAATGCAATTACATTGTATAAGACAAAATTAACAAGAAGCATTCAACTGGAATGAGACTTTGCAGTTTGATAATACAGTAGACTAAGAATAATAAGACAAAAATGGTGATCTTTGGGACTTTTTCATCCATGATATTATCAAATGAAGATCTTGTCCAAAGGATAATTCTAGTCTTCTGCATCCTTTTTCTGCATTCATAATTTTTTCTTAAAACATACTGGAGAAAACTTTATCAGATCTGTCCTTTTTTCATCAGACTTAACAGATTTGTTCAAAGTAGGTTCATAATTGTAGAGGGCCTAAAAAAGGTGACAGATTTAAAAATAATTCTTCTGATGTTTGGTAGAGGTCTTACATCTGAATTTCATAATGATTGTTGTCCTTAATTAGGTTACTGAAGTAGATTCATATTTATTTCTGAATATCAGACCAAAAGAGAGGGTCACATGCTTGAGTCAAAGTTAATGTTACTGCTGTTGAATCCCTCATCATGAATACTTTCTTGAAAAGCCTTTTAAAATCTTCGTCGAAGTTATGGCAAGTACCTGTCACTTGAAAATTCATACAGTATATATATAGTCAAGTATGGTCAACACAGTGCATAGGAATGTGGAGTCCTATATTATATCTAAATTACTTTTTAGCCCACCATTATGATCATCTGATGGTGGGCTATTCAAATCACCTTGCGTCCGTGGTCCGTGGTCCATTGTCCGTCCTTAAACAATTCTTGTTATCGCTATTTCACAAGAAGAAGCTGAGGAATCTTTCAACATGGCCGACAGGCAGCCATCTTGGATTTTGATAGTGAAGTTTTTTATCGCTATTTCTCGGAATGTACCGGTGGGGTATTGCTCAAATTTTATATGTAGGTTCCCCTTGCTCCTTAGTTGTGCAGGGCAACTTTTGAGACTCATCAGATAAACAACATGGCCGACAGGCAGCTATCTTGGATTTTGATAGTGAGGGTTTGTTATCGCTAGTTTGCGGGAAGTACCTGAGGGATCTTTCTTAAATTTTATATGTAGGTTCCCCTTGGTCGCTAGTTGTGAAGGGCAACGTTTGAGACTGATCGGATAAATAACATGGCCGACAGGCAGTCATCTTGGATTTTGATAGTGAAGGTTTGTTATCCCTATTTCGCGGGAAGTACCTGAGGGAACTTTCTCAAATTTTATTTGTAGGTTCCCTTTTTTTTTCAAATGGATCATTTCTGGTGAAAAATGAAGCCACCCGTAGAGTTCAAGGTCAGCCAATAACTTCCTTTTCAGTCTCAGATCAGGCTGCTTAGCCCCTTAGCCTAATCATATTTGTGTTTTTCGACTTAAGTAAATATTCCTTGCTCTCCTTTTTTTAGAAATTATGGGAGATGGGAGAGGGTTTGTGTGTTTACAAATGAAACACTTCGTTTGGTTTTACTTAAAATTCACTCGTGTTTACTCACATTTACCATGAATCCTACCCAACTAATACGTACATGTATAGTAGCCTTTGCATTTCTGCCGCAACCTAAACATTTGATTGGTACAGTGTTCATTGAAAGGAAAGTACAAGTAATGATTTGATTGTAAACATAAGCTTCTTATTATTTTTTTTACAGCTGCCTGACATTTCCTCACAACTCACTAAAGCAACAGAAATTCAGGACTCCAACCTGACTGCAAAAGTTCTTGAAGTATGTATTTTTTGTGTAGCGATTGGACATTGTCAAACACAATTGGAGAAACTTGACATGTTTTATATCTATTAACTGACGTATGTGATTGTTGATCTGCCATATCTATTTAATATATTAATTTATTCACCCCTGAAGACACATTTGAACTCTTCTTTTTCAAAGGTTGGACTCATTCATTATGATATTTCAGGGGTGAATGAGTTAAGGATGTATTATAACAACAATTTTTATTGTTTTTGACAGGGTGAAGAGGGTTACTGGCAAATTCCTTGGACAGTTCATAATGAAACCAATAACACTATTGCTTGTAAGTGTGCTTGTTACAGTAGAATATGATTTTTAGCTCACCTGGCACGAAGTGCCAAGTGAGCTTATGCCGTGGTGCTTCGTCCGTCGTCCGTCCTTCGTCCGTCCGTCCGTCCTCGTCCGTCAACTTTTCCTTTTAACTTCTTCTGAAGAATGGACAGGCCTAGAGTCATGATATTTGGCTGAAAGCTTTGTTGGTAGGAGCCCTACAAAGTTTGAGAACGAAAATGCCCTTGACATGTTTTCAAGGTCACAGGGGTCAAATATGTCAAAAACTTCAAACGACTTCTTCTAAAGAACTAAAAGGTATAGAATCTTCATATTTGGCTGATGGCTTCCTGGGATGGAGCCCAACAAAGTTTGAGAATGAAAATTAGTTTGACCTACTTTCAAGGTCACAGGTGTTAAATATGTCAAAAACTTCAAACAACTTCTTCTGAAGAATTAAAAGGTATAGAATCTTCATATTTGGCTGATGTCTTCCTTGGATGGAGCCTAACAAAGTTTGAGAATGAAAATGATTTTGACCTACTTTCAAGGTCACAGGGGTCAAATATGTCAAAAACTTCAAACGACTTCTTCTAAAGAACTAAAAGGTATATAATCTTCATATTTGGCTGATGGCTTCCTTGGATAGAGCCAAACAAAGTTTGAGAATGAAAATGACCTTGACCTTCTTTCAAGTTCACAGGAGTCAAATGTTTCAGACACTTCAAACGACTTCTTCTAAAGAACTAAAAGGTATAAAATCTTTATATTTGGCTGGTGGCTTCCTGGGATAGCGACCAACAATGTTTGAGAATGAAAATTAGTTTGACCTACTTTCAAGGTCACAGGGGTCAAATATGTCAAAAACTTAAACGACTTTTTCTGAAGAATTAAAAGGTATAGAATCTTCATATTTGGCTGATGGCTTCCTTGGATGGAGCCCAACAAAGTTTGAGAATGAAAATTAGTTTGACCTACTTTCAAGGTCACAGGGGTCAAATATGTCAAAAACTTCAAACGACTTCTTCTGAAGAATTAAAAGGTATAGAATCTTCATATTTGGCTGATGGCTTCCTTGGATGGAGCCCAACAAAGTTTGAGAATGAAAATTACCTTGACCTTCTTTCAAGGTCACAGGGGTCAAATGTGTCAAACACTTCAAACGACTTCTTCTGAAGAACTGAAAGGTATATAATCTTTATATTTGGCTGGTGGCTTCCTGGGATAGAGCCCAACAAAGTTTGAGAATGAAAACTAGTTTGACCTACTTTCAAGGTCACAGGGGTCATATATGTCAAAAGCTTCAAATGACTTCTTCTGAAGAACTGAAAGGTATAGAATCTTTATTTTTGATTGATGGCTTCCTTGGATAGAGCCCGACAAAGTTTGAGAATGAAAATGACCTTGACCTTCTTTCAAGGTCACAGGAGTCAAATGTGTCAGACACTTCAAACGACTTCTTCTGAAGAACTGAAAGGTATATAATCTCTATATTTGGCTTGTAGCTTCCTAGGAAAGAGCCGAACAAAGTTTGAGAATGAAAATGACCTTGACCTTCTTTTAAGGTCACATGAGGCAGATATGTCAAACACTTTAAACGACTTCTTCTGAAGAACTGGTAGTTATAAAATCTTAATATTTGGCAGGTGGCTTCCTGGGAAAGAGCCAAACAAAGTTTGCGAATGAAAATGACCTTGACCTACTTTCAAGGTCACAGCGTTCAAATATGTCAAACAGTTCAAACAGCTTCTTGGAATCAAAATGCATAAAAAAAAATATAATATTTGGCTGGTGACTTCCCGGGATAGAGCTCACCAAAGTTTGCAAATGAAAATGACCTCAACCTACTTTAGAGGTCACAGAGGTCAACAACATTTTAATGGATTTGTTCTTGAGAACTAAAAGGAATGGATTCATAAGATTTGGCTGGTAGCTTTTTGGAATAGAGCTAACCAATTTGAGAAGGAAAATGACATTGACCTACTTACAAGATCACAGGGAAAAATATGTCA